GCATTTATTTGAAATAAAAATATTTTGTAACATTATAAATGTCTTTACTGTCACTTTTGATCAATTTAATGCATCCTTGCCGAATAAACGTATTAATTTCTTTAAAAATAAAATAAGAAAATACCCCAATCTTCTGAGCGGTAGTATCAATCTGCTTTTGATGAGCAGATTGATGCTATGGGAAATACTGATACTCCTGATATTAATACTGTATTGAGAAAACTGATTGACAACCAAAAATATTAATTGTGTTTCAATAATAGCGATTTTATTAATTAATTACCATCAAAAGTAATGCACATCAAAAGTTTTAAAGTAGAAAAACCTTTAAAAAAAATTTTAAAAAGCAAGCCCAAAATAGTTGTTTTAGGTCGCAAAAAAAACGTAAGATGTATCTATCAAACAATAATATTCGAAATTTAAACACTGATCTAGATAGGAGAGAGATTTTGTTGGAAAAACATGCAGGCGGTGCTATTATGTTGGAAATGTGTCCATATTAGGAAGCCATCCATTGACTTTAATGGCTCTGAAGACATGAGACCGGACTCTTTTCCCATGCCCTATCAGCTGAGCTGTGGTAAATAGGACAGATGAGCAGAGACCATTCAGCGCCTGAGAGAGATGAGTTTATAAGGGAGAAGGACATGGGCTCCAGGACATTTGCTATCTGCATGCTAATAAATCTGACTATCAACGACTGTCACTGGACTGTATGCCATGACTACTGCTGGCTGCAGGGATGAGGGCAATGTCAAGGGCAAGACATCTTGGAGGGGACAGAAAATACTGACATCACAAAAATACTAAAACAGGGAGTAAATCGCAGAACGTATGCTTGGCCAAAAGAGACTGCATGTCCAGCAGTCACTACAGATATCTCACTGCTCGTTTCTCTATTTTTTACAGCGACATTATATCCAACCTAGGAGCCATATTAACTATGGAAGTCATTTATGCCATGGAAGAAGTAAACAACTCTGTAAATGAGGACAGATGCAACTGGAGGCCAAAGCAAAGAACGATTAAGCAAATTAGCTCTTAGAAATAGTTATTCAGTTCACTGCTGCCTCAGATATTTTAATAGTCTGGTTACATCTAGATGGGTGCACACTACAATTATTTTCTGTCCTTTACAATTTTTGCTTCTCAGGTCGTACAATATTAGACTGAACTTTCATAAAATGATCCAAGACTGACAATAATGCCCTATGCAATAATGCTGGATCTTTGAACTTAAATCTTTATTTCCTGAGGGTATGAATGAAGAACTAGAACTCTCTTGTTTTTTGTAAAAAATTGGTATTATCGTTACTGCTTTATCTTCTCTCTCTCCTGCTGTGTTTGGTGTATTTGTAATGTTTGGTCATTCTTTGAAGTTGTATACTTGTAATATTCTGCTACATATGTGAATGATCAAACTTTCTTGGAATTCTGCTTGTGATTAATTGAGGTTTACCTGAGATAATTGAATTCAGCTGATTGTCTTTAATTGTTGACCTACTTAAAAAGGGTCAATTTTGTTTGTTAAGTGAGCACTGAAGATAGCAATGGGCTGAAACGTTTGCTTGCTTGCTCGTGTCCATTTGTTTTTAATTCACATGCACTTTTGCACAATGCAATTCATAAATATTAAAAAGATGTTTTTGTAGACTTTTTAGTCTTGAGTGGATCAGTGAGCGGTTAGCCACCCTCTTGCTCATTTTCAATAATGCCCTATACCAAATATTTTCATACCAAGAACCCCCAAATATTACAATTTCCTACACTCTCAGGAAAAAGGTACAAAAGCTGTCATTGGGGTGGTAGCCTTTTAAAAGGTACTATATTACACCATTTACTAATATGTACCTTTAAATTACTAATATGCACACTTTATGGAAAAAATATATAGTGTACCTTTTCATAAGGTACCACCGCAGATGACAGTTTTAGCACTTTTTTTTTCCTGAAAGCGTACAAGCAACCACCTTCCTAAAATATACTGTAACGGTAATTATATATTTTCATATATATTTTCTAGTGCTGTCAAATTGATAAACAAGTACATTCTTGAATAAAAAAACGTATAAAACTACATTCCGTGACACAAAAATAGTATTATTTATAAAATTATAGTTGATTTTAGTGTCCGCAATGACACTCAGAGAAATACTGCAAATGGAGTGATATAAACGGTGAGTTCTGTTATCACTAGAATATCACACTCCTCTCAGCCAATCAGATTCGAGGACCAGAAAGAACTGTTGTATAAATTTATATATTTAAGAAATATTTACATGTGTGTGTGAGCATACCATAATGGGAGGCTGTTTGGCTGTGGTTGAGCCCAATGGGATGAAGCTCCAGTGGTTCCAGTGCTATACATAGCACTGACTTGCTGTTCCCCTCTCTCTCTCTTTCCTTCCGCTCTGGGCTGTGAAACAGCAAGGATGACTCTTGTTTAGCATCCTCTCCCACACTGTGTGCTAGCTTCCCTCCCTGAGGAGTGTACATGTCCTCATTCCCCAGAGAACTCCATTTCCCAGAATCCTCCCAACAATTATCATCCCCCAGTTCACGTAACATAGACATAGACACGAATGTAAATGACTTAATGCACTTTTCCTTCTAATTTTCTTCAGTTAAGAGATGAACCTCTAAACCTCTTCAGAGTGCAGAAGACTTATTTTAAATGGCAAATGACAGTAAGTGCAGATTTTCCTCGAGCAATTAAAGAACTATCAAAGTAGGCCAGCAGTAATACAAGAAAGACACTTGTCCTCTTTTCTGTTCAAGTCCAACTATCGTCTTAAATCCTCCTTGGTCTGCCACTGACTGCTTCTGAATCTTGGAGTGTTGATTGAAAAAAAAACACCTTAAGACTGACTCATAACAGAGGAAGATCTGAATAGAAGGAGATTACGCTTCATTGCAGCGATTGCATTTTTAATCAAACTTTACAAGGTCAGAATTTTCAGAGAGTGTGCTCAGAATTGAATACTAGCTGGATACAGCATATTGCAGTATATACTGCATTCTGATGCTATGTTTAAAGGTAGCATGTGAAGCAATATGCTCTAGGAAACAATAAATGTTCCTTTAATATGATATTTAATTCAGTGTTGCATGCAGTTAACAATTTTGCTCTTTTGATCCAATTTGTGCAAAAAATATTTTACATTTGGGTAGTTTATTCATTCAGCATGCTGTACACTGCATATTTGACCAAATTTACATGCATACAGAAAATGTACATATGTATTTCAGATACATTTTCAGTATATTTCAGATTACATTATATATGTATATGTATATATATCAATGCTTAACGTCAACTGCTTGGTAACCAGCATTCTTCAACTCAATTCTATACATTTGTGTTCAACAGAAAAAAAGAAATTCATACAGGTTTGGAAGAACATGAGGGTGAGTAAATGAGCTTTCAATTTTGAGTGAACTATCCCTTGAACACAGTCCAGGTCTCTAGCCTTAGATAACAGAGATAAACTGGCTAAAGCCCTCTGGGAAAGATAACCAGAGACCAAATCTACTGAATCATCATTCAGGCAGCCACAGTTATATAACAGTCCCACAGTGAGGATGAACAGCCACGAAGGACGGTGTCAGACAGCAAAGGTGGGAGATCAGGAGCAAAGGCGCAATTTCACAACCTTAAACACACAAATCTGATACGATCCGATGGTTCATCCCGCTCTACATCCGTAGTTTAGCTTTAACTCAGCAGGCCTCTCAGCATGCAAGATCAAGTCTCTCCTAAAGCCTCAAGATGGAAAACATTCAAACAGCATCAGTTTTCAGCTTTTCGTACGAAATAAAGTTGAACAGGGTGTAAAATATAAAGCTGAAACATTTTCTTGCTTTCCTTCACAGTTTCATCAGTAAAGACAAGCAACTGTTTCATGCAGTGGATAAAAAGCTAATCTAATTAGCCATCTTTGATGATTAAACCTCATGCTGGCCCTTATCAAAGAGGGTTTCTAAATTCATTAGCGAGGACCGTAACGAATACACACCCTGTCAATTGACTATACTTGCCCTTATCCTTGCCATCAGCAGCGTCTTAACATCACGAAAAGATCCATTTAGAGATTTGTCCACTGCCTGTCGCTTTTAATTAAACAGACTCTTTATTTCTTCAGGTCATTGGCTCAATCAATAGTCTTTATATTGAAATTAAATTAAGCAAATACATAATCTGCTGTTCTGTGCACAACTCAAAATAGGATTCGAAGTATTGCAAAGTCAATACATGCCAGTCATGTCAAGGAAGCACGGCAGAGATTAGAGCAGATTGTGTCAGACATCTGCCGTGACGAAAACACTTGGCACGTGGCAAGGAGGCCGCCACAGAGGAAAGAGAGCTTAACAAAGGAGGCAATCACAGCGAGAGGGCTTTGTGTGGAGGTGGAGGAAGGGTAGGCGCTCCTATTCAAGTCAATTATGTTTTAGCGGCTGCTATTGGTGCTGCTATCTAATGACGGCCCCTCCCATCTCTCTTTGCCCCACCCTCTTATCAACTGAACACAAAAGGGGAGAGACAGAGAGGACAAAGTAAGGATGCTTCATTCCCATTAACGTGTAATTGTTAATTATTTCACTACAACAAGCTAGAATTGTAAAATTGTTATTTTCATGCAATTGCAAAAGCTTTGGATACCTAGCATTTGGCGCACTTGCGTCATCACGTGTGTGTCATTATACATCATTTTTTGAAAAACCCTATCCCCTCTATTTCCAGTGATTTCCTGTCCTCTAAATACTGTTCCTGACAACAAATTCAGAGGAAAACAAAACAAAATGAATGCATTAAAAGGCATGCATTTTTCCAGTATTTGTGCCTGTGAACTGAACCCCTGACCTTGGTGTTAGTGACTCTACCAGCTGATCTTGTGAAAAAATAAATAAATAAATGCATTAAAAGACAAAATAAAATAAAAAATAAAATAGAAATGTATCTAAAAAGACAATGCATTAAAAGGCATGCATTTTTAATATAAAATAAAATACAATAAAAATATACAATGATATTTTACATTTACATTTAGTCATTTAGCAGACGCTTTTATCCAAAGTGACTTACAATGAGGACAATGGAAGCAATCAAAATCAACAAAAGAGCAATGATATGCAAGTGCTATAACAAGTCTCAGTTAGCTTAACGCAGTTAAGCTACACGTAGCAACACAGCACGTAGCAAAGTTTTTATTTTTTTAATTATATAATAAATAAAAAGAAAACAGATAGAATAGAAAAAGAATAGAGCAAGCTAGTGTTAGAGGCCTTTTTTTTGCTTTTGTTAATTGTATAATAAATTAAAAGAAAACAAATAGATAGAATATAAAAAGATTAGAAAAGCTAGAGTTACATCGCGTGCGATTATCGCCGACGTTTAACGCCTCGTGACTAAACAAAGGGCGCCAGTGTGAGTGTGCACACCGACGCGCAAAACGCGAGCCGTAAAAGCGTCATTTAAAAAAAAAACGCCTCAGGCTCGTTTTTTTTTTTGGTTTGACGTGCCGCGTTAAAAACTGGCCGACCAATGAGATTGGCGCTTTTGTTCACGTGCCTGGAGCTGCTGAAGTTACAGTAAAACACGACTTGGTGGCGCTCAAGCACAAAATGGTCTTGCTGAGCGCACTTTGATACCTAACGACGAAGAGGAAGTAAGTAGACCAAGAAGATGCATCAAGGCAAGATGAATTTAGAGCTGCTGGTCTCATTGGTGTCTGAACACAAAAGGGCTTTCTTTATGACAAACGCGACAGCGACTACAAAAATCTCGATAAGAGGGAGTTGTTATGGAGAGGAATTGCAGATCAAATATGATTCGATGTGTACCGGGGTATTTCTGTTTTTCATTAAGCGCTATCTAATGTCAGGGAGTGAATTTGCACGTCCACTCGGCTCATCGCCTGCGAAAATCGCTTGGGTATGAACACAAAAGACGCGTCGAAAAACATTGGCGATAAGCGCATTTTGTGCCTCTTTGGGATGGCACAATAAAGCGACGTTCACTTGCAGAACGCAAGCTTCTAGAGGGTTCATAAGTCTGAAGTAATGAATTTAGGTAAAGGGGTGCAGAGCCAGTGGGGATTTTGTAGGCAAACATTAATGCCTTGAATTTTATGCGAGCATCAATTGGTAGCCAGTGCAAATTGATAAACAGAGGTATGACGTGCATTCTTTTCGTCTCATTAAAAGTTAATCTTGCAGCCGTAATCCAAAATTACTTAAAGGTATGCATTTTGCCAGTATTTGAGACTCAGAACTGAACATATGACCTTGGTAATGCAAAAAATAATAAAATAATAATAATAATTATATATATATATATATATACACACACATACTAACACAAACACACATCCTATTCACAATCAAAGACTAGGCTACAAATTGAATCCATGCATGACATGTCAAACGCTAAAAGGAAGTAACTGAAAACATTCTCTACTACAACACGTGCAGAGAGCCCAGCTGTATGAGTACTGTACTACTACTACCAGATTGTACAGTTTAGTGTTGCTATAGTGTGTGTTTGACAGCATCCTGTAATTCACAGACTCCTCCTGTTCGCTCGACATTATGAAAGCTCATCCAGCTGCCAGTCAGCATCGTTATTGGAGGGAGCGGATTAACCGGCTCCAGATCAACTAGAAGGGCTTCATAAACCCACATCCCATCATTCTCTGCTGACACAGCCTGCCAGTCCTATTTCACAGTAAATCGCACCACCAAGAGGATATTATGCTGACTGCCTGTTAGGCCAGCAGTTCTGCTTTTCAAATGAGCAGCTTTGGGACTTGCCGATCATCTGCAAAGCATGCAAATGAGACACATGGCTGGATAAACCAATGTTACAGCTTTCAGATTAAAACTGCGTTCTTCTAAACAACAACAAAGCAATTTCAGTAGCCAAAATTAAACGTGTAAATTTGGTAGAAAACAAAACAAAAAAAAACTAACCAAACAAAATACAAATCATGCTGGAAACACTTTTAAAAAATTAAAAAAAATAAATAAAAAATCACAAAACAAAACACAAATGACTTGAAACACCTCTCAAATGTTTTAATAGCCACTTTTATGAATTACAAACAAAATACACATTGCATTAATATTTTGTGCGTGAAACAAAACTTTTATCAGTAACAGGAAGGTTCTTACCTTGTATACATAAAGTCTGTGACTAACAGGAATCGTTATTCAGTAAAATGAGTCAGAATATTCGGTAGCTGGATGCCTGTGGCTAAACTTGCGAACGTTTTAAATAATCACAGCAGGTCACAGCTTTAGATAAGCGTCAGCTATCAGCATTAGTCAGGGTGCTGAGTCAACAAGTTATCAGTCAGTTCATGTCCTACAAGTCCATAGATCATATATGCATTAAAGGTACGTCATCTGTAATATTTATGTACTGTTCGTTCCATTTTCCGTGTGATACACCCGTCTAAAGCCTTGTCTGTGAATAATCAAGGGAGTTCTGGAAAACAGGAA